TAAATAGAAAAATGTAAAACAAACATATAACCTGCAGTACACTGGTTCTGTTCAGTTTAAAGAAAAGCAGCAGGGAAAACTACAGAGAATTTACATTTTTAAGACAGATCTAATCATTATTAGGCTTAAGTTGAATAAACAAATGCACATTGCACTTCAATGCTATTTTATTAAAAAGCCTGTTTTTTTAAGCGTTTTACCCTCATTTGATGCTAAATAAGTTCTAAGGTCCAATTTACATTAGATAACATCCTACAGCATTCAACATTTATAATGCATTTGGTTTATATTAATTACCTGCATGATAATACTCTGTAGAAATGTGTTGTGTACGTTTAACAAGTTCATTCTGTAGCTTAAAACATACATGAAACCATCTAAAGTTAACATGTAAGTCCTGAAAGCTTCTAGAATAAACAAAGTTACTTTACCTGAAAACGGTTGTGAACAAACGCTGCTGGTGGACGTGAAGCAGTTGTAGCTCCTTAATATTCCTGATCCATTTTCGCTAGCTTTAGCATTTTTCCTTTGCGTGTAGCTGCCGCCACGGCTGTGACGGGACCTACGGGTCACCGTAGAGGTGAAGGCTAGACTGTCCGAATTCAGAGCCGCTGGGTTCCGGTCTTAGCGGTCTGGCAAGGACCCGGCCTTGCTAGACCGGCGAGGACCCGTACTCGTAAGCATCCTTCCTGTGGATTCGGACACACCCGCTGACTGCTCTTTCACATAACCACATTCGGCAGAACAACTTCCGGTTCAAAAGGCCAACGGATCCATCATCCAATCAGTGATGCCTGTTGTTGCAGCATTGGTACCTACCTTTTCCGGTTTGTGTTTTGTTTTTGTGGTTTTCAATTAGTTGTTGCGTTAAGTGATTTGTTTTTGTGGTTTGCACTTCAGGGCCACCGTAGTTTCTTGTGTTGATTCTGCAGATCTTGGGTCAAGCGCATTAACCCCAACATGACAGTTGAGTATCTGATTTGCTGCTGTGACTCTAAAATTTTCCTACTGAGAGACTAAAAAGGGATTTTGTATTCTAAGTGTGCTGTAGCCTTATTATTATACAGTTGTGGACTCAAAAAACAGCCATCACTCTATGGTAAAATATTGGTTTTCTAGGTTATCAATAACTTTGTTGCGTTTTTGTTTGGGAGAGGACCACTGTGTAACTGGGAAACATGGTTGCTATGAAGCAACACCGTGTTCAGCTGACTGACAGAATCAAATAAAATGGAAAAATCTAACAAAGAAAATTAAATGATTTCACCATTTTATAAACACTAGTACCTCATGAATCCCTGACGGACAGAAAGACAGACAGGTAGGCAGACTGGCAGAAGCAGCACAGGCTAGCCGTGTGAGCAGTTGTACTGCAGCAACAAATGCAAAGTTGTGTCAGGCTGAGTAATACCCGCTTAGAGGGGGAGGAGAGCAGTAATGGCCAAGAGATTTAATCAGGACAGCTAATGAATGCTTCCACCATCACACACCAAATTCATCCATCAAAGTCAGAGCTGCTGAACGTCAAGACAAATGGTCCCACTGGAAACCTACGTCACGTGACCAGACATACATGACAACTCACATTCATTATTCCCATCTATAGAGCCATATTTGCAGTTTACACGCAAACTTTTGATCGTGTTTCTGTCACAAGACGCTCATGTTCATTTTAGCCTTAAAGCATCACTGGAGTATTTAACACTAAGCTATTGCTTTCTAACTAGTTTCAGTGATTTTGTAGGTAGAAACTTTACTAGCTTCAGACAGTACAGCACTCTGCTGCCCTCTGCTGACCAGAAACCACACTTAACAGTTTTGTGGTACAAGCAGGTTCACTAGGTGGAGCTCTTCCTGTGCACTTTGCCTGTAGCTCATATAAAGGCTAGCAGTTAGCTTTTTCAATTCATGATTATCAATAAAAAGCAAAAGATGAACAGTAAGAATTTAGCTTTTTTTTTGTGGGCATCATGGTGGAACCAGGAAGTAAGAGAGTAAAGTGTTTGGAAGCGAACAAAGAGCTAAACCAAAGCAAACATGGACGCAACCTACACTAGCTTTAGGGAGCTAAAGAAGGCTACAAAATCACATACTAGCTGTTTTTACAGGACCATAGCGTTTGCAAAATGGGATTTGCCGCAGCTCCCTGGGGAGGATAAAGGTCGTTTATAAGATCAGACTGTGGCGGTAATGTGGCGCAATCGTGGCAGTTTTATGAAAGATTAGGTGATGGCGGCATAAAGGAGGTATGGGGCGGTCTCTGCGCTGCCGCAGACGTCCGTTTATCTTGGACATAACTTGCTTTTTATTGCGATTGAAGCCATGATCGTTACGTTTTTTTTAACAAGCAGCTCCTAAAGGTGTCAGTCCCCATCAGTCCCTGTGCAGTCTCTGGTGATCTGAGCTTCAGCTCTAACAGAGAGGCTCGTGGAGCGTTGCTGCGTTCCAGTTTGCCATCTCAGCTGATTTTGTTCAAAAAGCAAACCTTATTGCCTGTGTTTACTTTCATTTTCAATAAATTTGTCAGCCGGAGCTCAGCAATAACTCCCTGTGTCATCATGACATCTGCCTCTGTTACGCCAGGGCGCATACGACAGACCATTACAGCAATATTACTACTAAGTGAGGTGGAACGAATGCCACAAAATTTTCGCAACGCCATGCCAGCATGGCGCGTTTATAGACAAACCATTGGGGTAATATTACGCCGATTTGCCGGTATGGTGTGTCTTGTAAAAAGGGCTACTGATAGCGACCTGGCTTTGTTGCTACTGGACTTGTAAGTATATACACTCACCTAAAGGATTATTAGGAACAGCATACTAATACTGTGTCTGACCCCCTTTCGTCTTCAGAAATGCCTTAATCAAATGTATTGATTCAACAAGGTGCTGTGAGCATTCTTTAGAAATGTTGGCCCATATTGATAGGATAGCATCTTGCAGTTGATGGAGATGTGTGGGATGCACATCCAGGGCACGAAGCTCCCGTTCCACCACATCCCAAAGATGCTCTATTGGGTTGAGATCTGGTGACTGTGGGGGCCGTTGTAGTACAGCGAACTCATCGTCATGTTCAAGAAACCAATTTGAAATGATTGGAGCTTTATGACACGGTGCATTATCCTGCTGGAAGTAGCCATCAGAGGATGGGTACATGGTAAATGGTAAATGGCCTGTATTTGTATAGCACCTTCTTAGGGTTCTAGAACCCTCCAAGGCGCTTCACAACACTAGCCCATGGCATTTAAATGATGCCCAATTGGCACTAAGGGGCCTAAAGTGTGCCAAGAAAACATCCCCCACACCATTACACCACCACCACCAGCCTGCACAGTGGTAACAAGGCATGATGGATCCATATTCTCATTCTGTTTATGCCAAATTCTGACTAACATTTTAATGTCTCAACAGAAATCGAGACTCATCAGACCAGGCAACATTTTTCCAGTCTTCAATTGGTGAGCTGGTGCAAATTGTATCATCTTTTTCCTATTTGTAGTGGAGATGAGTGGTACCCGGTGGGGTCTTCTGCTGCTGTAGCCCACCCGCCTAAAAGTTGTGCGTGTTGTGGCTTCACAAATGCTTTGCTGCATTCCTCGGTTGTAACGAGCGGTTATTTCAGTCAAAGTTGCTCTTCTATCAGCTTGAATCAGTCAGCCCATTCTCCGCTGACCTCTAGCATCAACAAGGCATTTTCGCCCACAGGACTGCCGCATACTGGATGTTTTCCCTTTTTCCCACCATTCTATGTAAACCCTAGAAATGGTTGTGGGTGAAAATCCCAGTAACTGAGCAAATTGTGAAATACTCAGACTGGCCCGTCTGGCACCAACAACCGTGCCACGCTCAAAATAGCTTCAATCACTTTTCTTTCCCATTCTGGCCTTCAGTTCAGGAGATTGTCTTGACCAGGACCACACCCTAACTAGTTTGATTAGATAATTGCATCAAGGAGAAGTTGAACAGATGTTCCTAATAATCCTTTAGGTGAGTGTAATTTGTCCAACATTGTGGATTTTTTTACTTTATGGCTTATCAGTTGGCTCATATTAGCATTGACTCGATGTTAGCGCTTGCTACAGCAGGTTGTTTACAGCAGCCGTGATTACACTTTTACAAGTAGGAGGGCAAACAGGAAACTTAACAAATGTTGCTTTAATAAATACAAGATATTTTATTTATCTGTCCTTTCATATTTAACCAATTATTGTGTCAGCCAAAAACTGAGTCAACATGTCACAGAGGACACTAAATGGCACAAAGTGGACATATTTTTTAAAATAAGGACAGTTTCCTTTCTAAGCATGTTTCCCTGAGGTCTCTAGGAAATACACTGCTCCCTTAAGTCCCAGTGTCTGCTCTTATCACCTCTCAGCTGATGAACATTTAGCTCTTTGCATTGCCCCTCCGAAGCAGCTGCTTTTGGCAGCGTAACTGGGTCGGATATGATAAAACTGGAGGCCTTGTGAGCTGCTCCAGATAAGAGCAGCCTGTGAGCTTGTGAGTGAATAGAATGATGAGGGGAGTTCCCACAAAGATTTGTGCTTTATGACCATTTTGTTTGGCCTGGAGAAGCATAAACACAAATATTAGAGCTCTGCTGTGTCGTTGTCGGAGTTCAAAATGGCTCATTAAAAAATCAGTCTGTGCTTGTACTTGTGTGAGCAAACGTGCATATAGATGTGTGTGTCTCTGCAGAGGAGAAACAAAGAGACAGAGTGTTTGTTTACTCCATCTTAGTCACTGTGTCGATGCAAGATTGCCTCTGTTTCTGGGGGTTTTGTATGCACAGATTTTCAATTTTCTTCTCACACGTGTTGCTTCCAGCATGAGAAATGTCTGAGGAAGATAGAAATATATACAGATGTGTGCTTGGAAGGAATGGGAATAATACCTCACAGGCAGTGGTGATTCTCTGAGAGGGACATTTTCATTTTTACTTTAAGTTTCTGCTAAACTGTATGTAGATCTGTCCTTAATTTCCTGGTAAAGACTCACTGGGACTCTTGGACTCCATCTTCTCTGACTCTTTTGGTGTTCTGAAGAGCACGGGCTGACTGGGGGGACTGCTGCCTCCCATGCTGATGCTCTGGACATGGACGATGTACTCGGTGTCCTCATCCAGATCCCACAGCGCGCAGGAGCGTGTGGTGGTGTTCACTTCCTGGATAAACCTCAACATGCGAACATCCTTTTTCTGCGGTTCCACATGGGCCAGACAAGCAACAGGAAGGAGAGATATTATCAGTTTTTAGAGGTAAAATGCAAACAATACTATTAAAACATCAGATGCTTTTAGCTACAAGCTAGACACATTATTTATTTAATCAGTTGTGCAGTGTGGGGAAGTCAGTTTTCCTCCTTAAGGCTGAGTTCATGCATGCATTTTCTTTTTGGTTAATGGTTAGGAAAAACTTTAAATAAAGCCTCCTGGGGTCTTTTCTACAATGCAATTAAGCTAAAGAAACAGAATTTGTCCAAGGCCATGTGCACTCTGCTAGAAATGCACACTATTACCCTGCTCGCTTGGGTCAATTGGCTCCTATTGGATTAAAGAGTACGGTTGGGGTGCTATTTCCTTCTTTAATTTACCAAGTAATTAAAGAAGGAAATAGCTTAAACCATTACAACTTCACAAGGACATAATGTAAATCTGACAGGCATCTGGAAGTGCACCTGTTGATTAACCGCATGGCTGTGGAAAGTAAACTTCATAAATTGAGCATTTGTTTAGTAAATTAAAGTGTTTATAGCACTTCAAATGTCATAGGGTTAGGGTTAGATGGTTAGGGTTAGGGTAAGTTATTTATTTTTTTGTTAATATTTATCAAGTATAACACCTCTACCAGGTGAATCAGTCTGAAAGGCTGTTATGAGTAAAAGTCATAAATAATTACCATCTTACCAGTACAAGATAGTTTCCTGAAAACCAAAATATGTCAACAAAATCTAAAAGATAATATTGTAAATAAATATTTAAAATCAAACTTAAACATTTAAATGTTTAAATCTAAATTAAAATGTGTCTATTTTTTAGCAAACGTGCAGCTTAACGACTGTTATGAGGACTAGCCTACCAAAATAAAAGCAGGGTGAGAAGATCTCCTTTCGAACATCTTGGAACACCTTTAGAGAGAGTCTGCTCATCCATGGAGCATATTTCCATGCTCCTGTCTGGTTTTCCGGGCACAATAATGACTGTTCCAAGATTAAATTAACTGTTGTGATCTTAACCATCAAAGGAACTGACAATAGATAGGGGATCTCCTAAACCAGCTTTATTTTGGCAGGCCATTTTTGTTTTACACAAGTCCAAGGCCATTTCTCAATATGTGTACTTGTCTGTACTTGTGTACTCACATCCTTGTGAAATAATGGCCCAAGTACTGTTTCCCTCCTAAGTACATACATACCATGGCAAGTTCCCAGATGTGTTCTTGTTCCACCCATTATATCGAAGATGCATTGATGCGTCCTTCTGCGGACTTGGGAAAGCAAAGTATCCCATACTATTGAGAAATGACCTGAATTTAGAGGTCAGCTTCAACTTTTATAGTTTTTTAATTGATATGCTTATATTTGATCAATTTATTATTATTATTATTGTCAAACAATGCTGCACATAATGTATTACTACAATGGGAGGATCATGTAAATCAGGGGTGTCAAACTCAAACTCACACGGGGCCGAAATGAAACTCTGGGACGGAGTCGAGGGCCAAACTTAACATTTTTTGAAAAAGTGACGGCAAATTTGCACATTTTCTTTATCAACATATATGCAATTTAGAACCTTTAAATTTGGAAACAAACATATTTCTGCATTAACACTGAATGTGGAATAACCAAATTACACACGAGCAAGTCAGTTTTAAATAAAAGGCATCAGTGGTATTCATTACTTGTGGTATAATCAGCATTTTAAAAATCTATTCAGGATTTATGTTTTCTTGTTTATTCATTTTTATTATTTTTCATTCTCCTTTTTTTCTCCTGTAATACGTGTCATCGCTGCTGTGATGTCTAGCTTTCCCCACTGAGGAACAATAAAGGGATTTTCTATTCTATTCATCTATCTGCAGCCTTTCCACTTCCTGTTTTACTGTGGGTTAAATCTTTTCTCACGGGCCAACAACAAAAGAAAAATATCATTTTATCTTAAATGAAAATGCAACATCTCACCTGTTAACTTTCATGTTTTGGAGCAGAAAAAGAGCATAAAACCAACATATTTAAAGCTCATTTTGCTCCACTGGTTTACTGTGATGCTCACCTGTTCCAGCCAGATACCTGCATCATGGAGTTGATCTGAGCTGAGGAGGAGACTCCTGTTGTTTTGTTTATCTTCATCATAATAATGACAACATTAGATGACAACAGGTGCTCACATAGGTTTGTGCTGATGAACATGTCTGAGCAGCTTGACCACGTTGTTGTGTGTCGGGGAGGAAACACAACCACAGAGCCGTGCTGGTTTGAGCGTGTCGCTGCTCGCTGGAGTTATATCAGCTCTGTCTGGATGTTAGTTGGAAAACTTTCTCTTTAAGTCATGAACACATTACTGAGCGGCTAGAATCTCCGTTTCTGGGCTTCAACGTCAGAAAACGCGTGAACTCGGCGCTGAGTGAGAGGAGTGTAGTTTGAGACAGCGGAGCTGCAGACACCGGCAGCAGGCGCTGGGAAAAACACAAAGGAGGGGGCGCGTTGGCTCCGCGCTGACGCTGCAAAGCATCATGGGAGTTGAAGTCTTTGCTGTAAAATCGGCCAGCGGGCCAGTTTTAATATATTTTCGATATTTATCTCGCGGGCCACATAAAAATGCTCCGCGGGCCGCATCTGGCCCGCGGGCCTTGAGTCTGACATATGTGATGTAAATAATACTCAGAGGTACCTGTTGAGTGATGGCGAATCCAATTACGGGGTCTCCCTCCAAGATTTCCCATGTCACCACGGCCGAGTTGACCTCAAGCTCTCTGATGGTCACATTGAGCGGAGCTGACAGCAAAGTGTCTAACAGATGTACACACACACACAGGCGCGCGCACACACACACACACACACACACACACACACACACACACACACACACACACCAAAATGTTTAAATGAAACAAAGTTTTAAAAAGATGATAAATATTGTCTATAATAAATTCTCTTATTCCGTAATAGATCCAATAGATCTTCCAACAGGAGCTTCTAGCATGCACACACGTAACGTTTACCCTCTAACTCTATTTTCTTGTTCCACCCTTCAGTCCAACTTCCCTGGGATCGTCTCTCCACCTCACATAAATTAGGCTTTCTTCTTTCATTAATGCAGGCCTAATTAAGCACACTGAAGTTTCTTTGTTTCCCTTGAGAAGGTTTTCTTCTGATTCTTTTTAAGTTTTTTTCCTTTAATGTATTCTATCCACTTCGTCACACACAAATCACCCTCATGCAGCCTTTCTTCTGCTCTTGTCAAGTAATCCTAACTGTTAAAATACTTTATAAATGTGATAAATAAAAATAACATCTTCTTTACCTCATTTAATTTCTACACTAGGAAAGTGTGTGTGTGTGTGTGTGTGTGTGTGTGTGTGTGTGTGTGTGTGTGTGCGTGCGTGTGTTACGACCAACCCAAGGTCTTCTATGATCAGACATATTTCCCATGAGTCCAATATGACAAAGTAACAGCAGAGCCAGACCTTGACATTATATTGAAACACACACACACACACACACACACACACACACACACACACACACACACACACACACACACACACACACACACACACACACACACACTTGACTAGCACAACAATGTCTCTTTATCTGAGGTATAAATAGTCTAAACCAGGGGTGTCAAACTCAAACTCACACGGGGCCGAAATGAAACTCTGGGACGGAGTCGAGGGCCAAACTTAACATTTTTTGAAAAAGTGACGGCAAATTTGCACATTTTCTTTATCAACATTTATGCAATTTAGAACCTTTAAACTTGGAAACAAACTTATTTCTGCATTAACACTGAATGTGGAATAACCAAATTACACACGAGCAAGTCAGTTTTAAATAAAAGGCATCAGTGGTATTCATTACTTGTGGTATAATCAGCATTTTAAAAATCTATTCAGGATTTATGTTTTCTTGTTTATTCATTTTTCTTATTTTTTATTCTCCTTTTTTTCTCCTGTAATACGTGTCATCGCTGCTGTGACGTCTAGCTTTCCCCACTGAGGAACAATAAAGGGATTTTCTATTCTATTCATCTATCTGCAGCCTTTCCACTTCCTGTTTACTGTAGGTTAAATCTTTTCTCACGGGCCAACAACAAAATAAAAATATCATTTTATCTTAAATGAAAATGCAACATCTCACCTGTTAACTTTCATGTTTTGGAGCAGAAAAAGAGCATAAAACCAACATATTTAAAGCTCAGTTTGCTCCACTGGTTTACTGTGATGCTCACCTGTTCCAGCCAGATACCTGCATCATGGGGTTGATCTGAGCTGAGGAGGAGACTCCTGTTGTTTTGTTCATCTTCATCATAATAATGACAACATTAGATGACAACAGGCGCTCACATAGGTTTGTGCTGATGAACATGTCTGAGCAGCTTGACCACGTTGTTGTGTGTCGGGGAGGAAACACAACCACAGAGTCGTGCTGGTTTGAGCGTGTCGCTGTTCGCTGGAGTTATATCAGCTCTGTCTGGATGTTAGCTGGAAAACTTTCTCTTTCAGTCGTGAACACATTACTGAGCGGCTAGAATCTCCGTTTCTGGGCTTCAACGTCAGAAAACGCGTGAACTCGGCGCTGAGTGAGAGGAGTGTAGTTTGAGACAACGGAGCTGCAGACACCGGAAGCAGGCGCTGGAAAAAACACAAAGGAGGGGGCGCGTCGGCTCCGCGCTGACGCTGCAAAGCATCATGGGAGTTGAAGTCTTTGCGGTAAAATCGGCCAGCGGGCCAGTTTTAATATATTTTTGATATTTATCTCGCGGGCCACATAAAAATGCTCCGCGGGCCGCATCTGGCCCGCGGGCCTTGAGTCTGACATATGTGGTCTAAACGAACAACTGCATGCTCATCAGGATTAATTTCTTGTTAACACACTATCTAGTATTACCTAAATTTAAAAACAGCTCTCAGAAAGTAATCATTAGGTTTAAATCTACAGCAACCCAAACATAGTCAAATTCAGCCATAGCAAAGCACAGAATCGTTATAATCATTGCATTTTAAAGCTATTGAGCTATGATTTCACTGCACTGTCTGTGCGCTAACAGTAATATTGGGTCAGATCTTACAAAATGTGGTGTTCATGGTTTGACCAATCACAAACGGACTTGTGGGCTGCACTGATGCACAAAGTTTGAACTGTTAACATTAAAATAAGGCAGCTTTAATATTAGCATGAGCACATTTTAAGTTTTATTCAGCTTTTAAAGTGAGCCTACATTCTTAATGATAATAAATCTGCTGTGGTTTCTAGTATAAATAAAGTCTCTTCTCTGACTGGCTAACAATAATACAACACTACCACTGACTCCATTCACTCTGCAAAGTTGAAGTTTCATCTCCACAAAGAACACAAGCCTGAAGGAGTTCCGCTTTGTGGTGAAGTTGCTAATGCTAATGGTTAGCTTCCACTAGCGTAGATGCTCTCTTCTTTCTCCTGGACGCTAAATCAACAACAGCTTTATCCGGTTTTGAGCCAAGGTCTCGATGGATGCTAATATTTCCCTGTGATATAGAAGGGTCTGGTTTGTTCTGACCTGAGAGTCTAGGGGGAGCCTAAGTCTCCTCCCCTTTCGGTCGGCTCATGGGTCCCGGGAAGAACAAAAAAATTAATGCAAGTCAATGACACTAAAAGAGCTATTTCCTAATCCGCTTTGCCTTACACCCAGCCATACATTGTACTTCAATTGAAATGAAATGGTGTGTGTTTCGACCATGCCAGTCACATATTTTGAGATTTATCAACTTGTAGTTCGTAATTAGCATTAAATTGGACGTTGGTACATCACATCTATATGGTGTCACCAGAGAATCTCCTCTCCACTAGCATAGCTGCAACTTACCACATGGCCAGATTTATAGTGGTTCTTTCCTCCTGAAGGAAGGATTTGAAGTTTGCTAAACTTACAGCCATTTTTTCCTTTGCTTTTCTCCAAGTCTGGTTTGATGACATCAATTTGGTGATGCACAATTGTAGTCCTGGACATAGTTTAACACAAAACCTAGAAAAAACTTTTGCCTAAGCACGTTCTTGGCATCAAAACGCATCTTTAAAATTTACGGACACCATGTGAAATCCATGACACTTAACAAACGAGATTAGAAATTAGCAACTTTAGCCCCATTGACTTGCATTCACTTTTTCATTCTTCCGGGTAGCCACGGTCAGGAAGTTGAAGAGCATGACTTAAGCCGGGCGTACACTGTGCGACTTTTTCACTCGTAGCACTCAGCTTCAGCTCAAACTGTACGACTTCCTCGCAGGGCAGACCTGACGAGTCATGTGCTCACACTGTACGTCTGGTAGCAACACGTCGGACCTAAAAATATGCTAAAAATAGCAGTTTTTACTCAACACGTCAGACTTTTTTGTCTTGCCTGTTGTCCTTCGGGAGTGCTGCAGGAGGACACACAGCGATTTATGGGGGTTGGATGAGGAAAACGAAATAAAGAAAGTAAATCTGTGTTTTGTGATCAGTTTAATTTGACATGAACAGGACAAACACGCTTTCTTGACAATCTTTGTGAGTAAAAAAAACGTGTAGAAACAAAAACGAACAGCGTGTGTTATTAGGGAAATAGCGGGCGAGCGGTGTTGATGCAGGATTGTGCATGCACCGTGAGCGGTTCTGATACTTTTTGGGTCGCAGCTGCTCGCAGCGCCACTTTAACAGTGCGATACCCTCACGAGGGACGAGTGAAATATTAAACACGCCAGAAGTCCGTGCGAGCTCACGATTGCCGATCGGTAGCTAGTCACGTGGTGTTAATTACCTCTCGTAACCCCCTGTACACTACCCGACGCTCAGCGCAAAACTCGCCCCGATCTCATGGATTCTCGCACGAGTGGAAAATCGGCTCAAAAAAGTGAAAAAGTCGCACAGTGTACGCCCGGCTTTAGGCTCCCTATTTCCTTTCTGCGGCTAATACATGAAATGGGTAGCCTGGCAAGACATCCTATGTGAATACATAGTCTGGCCACAACCCATTGACAGCTCTAAGTCATGGGGCAGATTCTATGGTTGTCCTTCAAACTGTCTCTGCATACTATTGGACACTAACTCTGCTACAAATGTCAGTCATCGCAGCAGTCCACCATACTCTGGCAAGAAGACGCAAATACATCCTTCTTCTAAATAAAGTGACAATGTGTATTTTTGCTGGCAATGGGGGGCAGTAAATACCTAAATTATTGCAGCAAGTAGTATTTTTGTGTTAGACTAAGACCTTACCAACGGATGGCCATTACGATCAAAAATCCCTGGGAGCACAACCTTCAGCAAAATAACAAGCACATCAGACTCCCTATCATCACTGGCAATGAGCGACGAGGTAAATGTGTAAAACAACATTTATGAATGACAAAAGTTTTGTAACTGTTTGCTACAATCAGTAAATGTGTTTTGTCCTCACGGGCTTCCGTAGAAGGAAACATAGTGTCTAATATGGCAACTACCAGAGACTTAGACCCGCTCCCACGTACTTTAGACCAAATTTTATGGTTATATGTTACAAAGCTGCTGACATTTTTCAACTTCTGGTCATCATTTAATTCATTTTAACAACATTTTGATATTTCCAGAGATTAATGGAAAAAAACTACACATTGTCACTTTAAGTACCTATATTTGCCTTTGACTCAAAGGAAAGCCCAAATCTAATGTCCAATGGAGCGTGCTTAGACCGACATGCAGAGCTAAATCATTTTGCTTCGCCAACTGACGGTCTGGATCTGACTGATCATAATTGAAAAAGAACAAGTAGGCCTTTCACAATTTTCAGTGAACCTCCACTTCGAATTTGTGCCTACCTTAAAAATAGATGATCTCCCAAAGAATTTTGGGGTTAATTGCTGTTTTTTTAAAGGTTTTCTACTAAATGTGTTTTTATTTGATGTTCTGTTTACCAGACTGACGTGGAATAATCATCGGTCACTTTTAGGAAATGAGATTAGCCACTCCACACAACTTCTAAGTCACAGCTTGATTTATCAGGTCATGCAATGGAAGGGTTGCACTTCTTGATGTCGTCAGCGTAGTGCTGCTGCAACTGCTGAGTATTCCACAGATGTGGAGATTACTGAGATAAAATGCCTAATTCTTCTTGCTGCTGCTGTGGTCTAAAGGGTTTTGAGTGCCCGTGTGTGAGTGATCCATTGCTATATGACGCCCTGCTTGACTTTGTTTTTCACTGTTTATCTTCCAGACACACAATTCCAGCAGGGAGAGATTCCCAACTATTCACAAGCCTTCTGATGTCCAAAGATGGCTGCAGAATTTTGGAAATTCTGAAAACTACTCATTTCTGACTCCAGGGAGCCAAATAAAAGCCCCTCTCTGTAGGCTGAGATAAAGCCCACATGATCTTATCACAGAGAGTTGGGCTCTTTTAAAAGGACTATCTGGTATCTCTCAGCATATTATCTTGAAACAATGTAAGATCTTAAGCGAGAAATTCGTTTTCTTCCTGAGCGTGACTCATTCCAGCATGAAGGATAGGATAGGATCACACTGAAACAATAATAATCTGATACTGTCTTCATCCAGGATGTAAAGGATGTTCACAAACAAACAAAGGTAAGCCGTAAAGGCATGATTTCTCTAGGTGGTGAGGGATTTCTCCCAGTCATGTTGTCCACATTCTTTTTAGAACCTCCATGTGTCATACATTTCTAGCTGTGATCTAAGTCAAGACATGTTGCAGTATGAGATGATCTGTTGTCAGCCATTTTTGGCTTTCTAAAGCTTGTTTACCAGTTAATGCACACGAAAGACACACACATGCAAAGCGCATGTCATGATGCCCGTCCAGCGCTGCACGCATGACTTGCTTTATAGTCCTGCAGATGGAGATTACAGCATGTGTCTGATCAGCCGGTGCACACCCCCCCCCCCCCCCCCCCCCCCCCCCCCCGTGTTTACTCGCAACGGTCGCTCATCAACCTGTGGTTCAACTCACCGGCTGTAACGGAGGACGCCGAGAGGAATGAGCCCAGCAGGAGCAGCAGCACCACTGCAGACAAGCCCGGTTTCTCCATCCTCCTCCTGCTTCTTTCAGCGAGGCTTCACATCCTAGGAGGCCCATTTATGACTAACGCGAGGGAACGAGCATCGCCGGTCGGGCTACCGGAGACAACGGACTTGTTGTGCAGGAGACGATCAGCTCAACTTGTGAGCTGCAGCATCGGCGGCGGGGGGAGCGCACAGAGGGAGGAGGGTGGAGGCTCAGAGGAGGGGAGGGGGAGATCGTTGCTGCTGCTGCGTCCGGTGTGGAGGCACGGTGATGCTCCTGAGGCCACCGGCGGACTTTTGGTCCTTTTGCCGGGAGACTGAGAGCGCAGGGTAAAACAGGGACGCGCAAGTGCTGCCTCTGTAGGGGGCAAGGGACACACATACACACACACACACACACACACACACACACACACACACACACACACACACACACACACACACACACACCGTCCCAAATTACTTGACCAAAAAATGTCAATTTAGCCTGTTTGGTAATTCCCAATTCACGTCCGTCTGTAAATGTGTATACAATTAATATTGTTATTATTCTTGATGGAAGCATATTTTGTTTGCAGCAATTTCTTTCTTTTTATTTATTTATTACATTTTAGACGTTTCCTTGACAACAGCATTGCCTCTTCTGGCACCATTACATTCAAATGAACACTAATGATTTTAAATAGAAATGTTTGTGAATTAACAGTTTCATGATTTTTGATGTTTAGATTTGTTTAAATTTTAGTTTCGTTGTTTGTGGAAAACTGTGATTAAGACCTAAACCCAATTAATTGTCACGGTTTTAAACAGTTACATAAGCGTATTTCTATTATTATTATAAATAAACATATCAGTCCATCTCATTGATGAATATTTGAGCAACAGTACAATTTAATATTTTTATTTTCTTGATCATTCAACAACAGAGCATTTTATAAACTCTAAAACAAACAATAAAAAGTCAATTTTTATTTTATTTTGGTAACCCAGAACAGGTCAAACATGGACTGAGTCCACCCTGAGTGTTCAAACCCAGCAGGGTTCGGTGATCAGTGTTAATGTTGTTGAAAATTCACTTGTGACAAACTGGATTGAAATGTTACTCAGAATTTGTTCATAGATAAATTATATAAAAACATAACATTATTTATGTTAATAATTACGTTTATGACATGAGCTACTGGAGTTACAGTTTTGTTTATCATGGACCAGATTTGTGTAGCTGCATTTTGGTTTGTGGGAGGAGAAGCTGATCGCCTGCTTTCGTCCTCCATCACTGTGAGGTTTACGAAGCCTTTAACTATCCCGAGGCACAACATATAGAAGATAACACTGGAGGGATCAGACACAAACATAAGCTTTTATCCCAACATGCAGGTTCCTGTGGGAGGAAAACCAGTATACCTCAATGTGCAAAATATATATATGGAAATACTTCATTCACATACAGTATATGTATGTACTACAACAATGTGTGCATGTTAAAGGGGAAACAAAGTTTGCAGTGAATCGATTGGTTTTGTTGGTTGCTTGTTTGAAGGAAATCATGCAACAACATTATAAACTAAAGCTTTCTAATGTCTCTATCACTTTAGTGAGAAGAGACCGTGCTTCCTTCTTCCTCTTTTCCACTTTCTTCTTCTCCATCTTTGAAGGTTACCAGAACTATTTTAGATGACAGCAATCATAGCTCTTTGCGCTGCCACTGACAGTTTTATCAGTCAACTGAGATTCAAATGAGCAAAACCTCCCTTGGGGGCTCTCCGCTGTGGATGCCAAAAAAATTAAGACCTTGAATTTTCATCTGTTGTTGGTCCGATTACTTATTTTCACAGGACACTTTGCAGAGAGATTTATATCTTTGGAGCACTACTTTTAGAGGTCAATGTATTTGGAGCGTGAATGAGACTGGATGCTGATTTGATGTGGGTGTTAAGAGTGGGAGAAAGGTTCTAAGGAAGACTACTTCAAACTTCACTAAAACATTTCTTCCTGTAGCTCAAATTGTGTGCTTTTGTTGTTTGAAAGCATCGCCTTGTTTGTTAACTGATCCCTAAGTCAACCAGATGTTTATCCAGCTTGCAAGTTGCACCAATAAGAGTTGAGGTTAGATCAAATCAAGAGGGAAGCATAAACTGAAGTGTATATGATGGATTTTGTGTGAAACTGATGAGGTGTTCAGTGGGATCAGAACTGGTCTGAAGAGGCCTTAATCCTTGTGAGGCTGCAGGAAAGTCTGCAGACACTTTGAAGAGGCAGTACTTGCCTTTTCCTTGTCTGCTCTCTACAAATCCCAAACTACCCCTGAAGGGTTTTGACATTGTATGTGTGTGTGTGTGCAAGCGTGCGTACACGTGTGTGTAAATGAAGATGAAGAAGGATCACAAGTGAAGTGGGATTACAGTAGAAACTGGAGCAAGATCTAATTCATTGAAGAAAAAAGGTGAAAGAGAATTAAAGGAATGTCATTTGGATGTGAAAAAACCAGTCTGGGCTAACTCAAGTCCTTCCAATGTCAAGCTGAACATAAACAACCAGATGGGACAAATGTCCTTGTATGTGTAAGTCACCCATGAATGCTGCCACCCTAAATATACAACCAAAGAGCTGCTGACATCATCAGATCTTGTTTCATTCATGGATTTTTGGCCCTTTTCTTTGTTTGCGCATTACATTTGATCCCGGGACTAAAGCTGTTCACCTTTCTCATCTCCCTTAAATAAGTGGGAAGATAACTCAGGAAACAGCGATATTGGCACTCATTTAATAGTTTACAGTGTCGTGATTAACCTACAACCAAAGATGAAACAGGTGTTAAGAGTTCAGGGACAGAAAGCTGACAATACCTCTATTAGTCCCACACGTGGGAAATTTCATCGTTGCAGCATAGAGGACAGTACAGTCAGACAAACAGGTAAGACAAAAACACATAATTTGATAAAAAACAGTAATATTTTAAAATATAAAAACTAACAAAAGAAAACCACAATCTTCCTCATTCAATGGCCAGCTGCAGTGGCCTCGTTATAAAATCTAACCACTGCTGGGAGAAATGATCTTCTGAACCTTTCCCTCATGCAGCGTGGATGCAGCAACCTGCTACTGAATGAGCTACTCAGTGCTGCCAGAGTCCGGTGCATGGGGTGGGAGATATTATCCATCAGAGAAGATAGCTTGGCCACCATTCTCCACTCAGTCACCACCTCCAGTGGGTCCAGAGGGGCTCCAAGAACAGAACTGGCCCTCTGGATCAGTCTGTTCAGCCTTTTCCTGTCCCTAGCCGAGATGCTGCTAACCCAGCCAACCATGCCGTAAAAAACTGCTGAGGCCTCAACAGCATCGTAAAAGGTCTTGAGTAGTGGACCCTGGACTCCAAAAGACCTAAGCCTCTACAGCAGGTACAGCAATCTCTGCCCTTTTTTGTAGAGAGCTGCTGTGTTATCTGACCAGTCCAGTTTATTATTTAAATGAACACCGAGGTACTTGTAGGTCTCAACAACTTAAATCCCCATTCCTTAGATGTTCAGTGGACATACTGGAGGGTGCCTTTGCCTGCAAAAATCTACCACCATCTCTTTGGTTTTTCCGGTGTTGATCTGGAGGTAGTTTTGCTTACACCAATCCACAAAGACCTGAGTCAGCTCCCTGTACTCTTTATCATCCCCGTCATTAATGAGGCCGACTATTGCTGAGTCGTCGGAGAACTTTTGGAGGAAACAACTTGTAGAGTTACAGGAAAAATCTGCGGTGTAGATGGTAAACAAAAATGGTGCCAAAACTGTTCCCTGCGGGGCACCAGTATTGCAGATAATTCCACCTAAGGAGTGGCTGGGGCTTGGGGGGGGGGGGGGGGGGGGGGGGGGGATGGCCACCCATAGAAAATTGCTGACCCCCCAGGAAAGGCCAGTGTTATCATATTGATGTTCACTCAAACCATAAATTAATCTACTTAATTCGAGACGTTATTGTAAAACCCAATAAAATTTTACAGTTAATGAGTAAAGAAATATTCTCAATTTTTAAAAATAATATGTTTCTGCTACTCACCATTTTAAAAAAGGGTCATGTCTCCACAGTTTTTGTGACGACAGCAACAAGTGAAATAAACTTAAAACTAAAATACTAAAATAAATTTTGAAATAAAATTTCTAAAAACTGAAACGTACTTTTCTGAAATGTTTGTATTTCTCATATGTAAGTGTTTTGGATAGTTATTGTTTTTTTTTAATAAAAAAGAATGAAGGAGCAATGCATCGCCACAAGCTAAACACTCCCAGAGTTACCTCAAGGAACATTTTTGGTGTGCCGCCTCGAAGGTTTATTTTGCACCCTCTGGCCACCCTTATCAAAATTCTGTGGCCGCGCCCCTGATTTTCTTAACAGTTCTAGGCAAAACACATTTGCTAATCCCATTAACAATTTTTTTTACTTAAAACAAGATTAGTTGTTAATTTTTAGGAATATTTGTCTTATTTCAGGTAATGCTGTTTTTGCAGATAAAAACTTTTATCTTTTTAGACAAAAAACTAGAGATGTGTGATGGCCACATCTATGTCCACACAACGGTGAACGTTAGTACACTCATGCACTTACATGATTTCAGTTTGTACGTTTATATTTCTTTGGATTTATTGTTTAGACGGCTTAAATGCATTAGTTCTGATTGCAAACGCACAAATTTAGTTAACTGCTGTATTTTATGCCTGTCATTTGTTCAATTTAAGTTAATTTATGTTTTCTCTTACCGGTGCTGAGAGGTTCTCCACTTCCTGCTTCCTGAGATGGGACAGGCAAACAGTGGTGAAGGGGTTCTGTCAGCTAAATACAGGAGGAGCTGATGGGGCCAAACCAATAGCTCCATGAAGAGGGGACTGAAGGGTTTCCTTTAGATTGTTATTTTGTCATTTGTTAATTAATTTAAGTTTGAAGTGAAATAGTTAGGTTTATGGGTTAGGGTGTTTAGGTTTATTAACAGTCTGACTGTACTGATTTGTGGTTTTAGTTTTAGTTAGTAAATGTTTGTCTAGTAATTCCTATTGTTCATATGGTCTGATCAGCCAGTGTGTATATATACCCTTGTGTGTCTTTGTTTGCTAGGTCGGTTATGGTTTCAGTCAGTCAGCATGTTAAGTTAGCAGTTTATTGAGTTTCAGTTTGTTTGTTTGACCTCTTTTATGAGCTCGTGCTAGTTTTTGTGAGGATATTTTAAAAGAAAAGGAAATTAAAGAGCCTCTATTTTTGGAGATTTCCTGTGTTCTTCCACTCATTTGACTTGATCCCTCACAAGATGCAACGATACCACTTTTTCCTAAACCGATACAAAACCGATACTTGGATCTGAATACTAGTGATGATGATGTGAAGCCTTTTGAACCAACAAAGCTTTACAATCCAAATGTATTGAAAAAAGGTTCAAGGTTCGATGCTTCAAAACTCTGTGAGGACATCTGCTGGTAAATGTTTGTATTTCATTGTATTGTCAGCCAATTCTACTGAAAAAGAATGGTGTATTGAACTTTATGGACAAATAAAGCATTAAAAAGCTTCCTCAGGATCATATAATAATAGTATCTTGAATTTGAACATTACATTAAATATACTAAAATTGCTTGTCTTGGTGTGAATACTTGAAATGAAACAATGTTTATTTTTATGGGATACGTGATGAAATATATCGAATTTACACATGTTAACATTCTCTACATATTCAAATATTTTACTTTTCACATTTCTATTGGATTATTAGGCAGGAATAATTAGCTCAATTTATGTATCTTTTTTAGAAATAGAGTAACAAAATGAAGATTAGAAAATTCACATAAGGATAGGACATACTAAATTCCATTACACGTACAACCAAACTGAAAAGCTCATCAACTATTATATTAATTACCAATAAAAGAAGAAAAATCATACCAAACTAGATTTTAATTTAATTAAAGGAAAATGACAGAAGGTCTATAAGATATAGCCCTACAATATGCACCAAGTATTACTACTATAAAGGTAATTTACTAGACTAGACCAAATACATTTTCAAACCTTATTTGGAGAGATTAAACTGAAACATTCCCACATCTCAGAACGCCCTCTTTTTGCTACAGGATCCATTTTTGCGACTCGGTGATTTATCACTGAATACTGAATCCTGAACCGTCAATCTCAGGTCATACAAACCTGTATGGCAAGCCAAATAAGCATTTATTCTGATAGCAGGATATCAGCCAGAATTGTCATGAACATGTAAGCCATTTCTGTCCACTAGTTAACTAGTTAGCCATGTTTGCGTCAACTAGTTAAATATCGAGGGTGAAAATGTGCCCACTAGTTAACTAGTGACAGCAGAAATGCACACTAGTTAACTAGTGAACACATTTAGGCTTCAGTAGTTAACTAATTGACACAAAAACTGCTCACTAGTTGACTAGTAAAAGCAGAAATGCATACCAGTCAGCTACTTGAAGGTATTTGTCTCACTAGTTAACGAGTGAGGGTCAAACTGTGCACACTAGTTAACTTGTGGTAGACATAAATGCACACTAGTTAACTAGTGAACACACTGAGCAATACTAGTTAACTAGTAAGATATGAAACATTTTAACTAGTTAACTAGAGAGAATTTAGGCCTTACTAGTTAACTAGTTGACATTTACGTTGTCACTATTTAACTAGTTGACACAAACATGGCTAACTAGTTAACTAGTGGACAGAAATGGCTTACATGTTCATGACAATTCTGGCTGACATCCTGATATCAGAATAAATGCTCATTTGGCTTGCCATAAACCTGCGCCTCGCGGTTTGCGTTGCTTTAAATGTTTGAAGCAACGTGTGAAGCGGTCACGTGGGTGGAAGGGTGAATGAAGCATCGTTGCTCATTGGTCATGTGACTTTCAGTAAACAAATCAAGCTCCGACACAGTGCTTTGCTCTGCGGTGGTTCGTTTTGGTGATACAAGCTTCGAATCCTGCGTGTCACAGGTAAGATCACTACTGAATACTCGCCGATACCAATTACCGGTACCGATACTTCTATCACACAAAAAAATGCAATGAATTTGAATACAGGTTTTATTTTCTTCTCCGGTTACAACAGGAAAAGACTGTGTGGTGGATTAATTTTTTTATATATGTATATATATATATATATATATATATATATATATATATATATATATATATATATATATATATATATAATCGGAATTATCACAAAACTAAATATTAGGTGAACAGAAATGACAAATTACAGTGAAGCCACTTTCAGGCAACTGCACTGGTATCGCCCCAGTGAGTCGTGGAGGATGGCTGCTTATACTGAGCCAGGATTCTCTGGAGGTTTCTTCCTGTTAAAAGGGAGTTTTCCTCTCCACTGTCGCTATATGCTTGCTTAGTATGAGGATTGCTGTAAAGACTCTGAGGCCCTGTCCACTCGTAGCTGGGGATCTGCCAAAACGTAGATATTTTTCTACGTTTTGGCCTGTCATCCACACGAAAACTGAGTTTTTTCACACGAAAACGGATCTTTTTAAAAACTCCGGCCTAAGAGAAGATCTGAGTTTTCTCCGTTTTGGGTGTCTGCGTGTGGACAGACAAAACCGGAGTTTTAAGGTCCGCAACGTCACTTTCCGCGACAAAAAAATGCTGACATCACGTGTGTGATCTGTGTTTACACTAGCCGACAGCATGGATGCCCTCAGAGCTGTGCTCGCTTTATCAATTGTCCAAGTGCTTTTTGCTTGTTTGTTTTTGCAAGCGGAATTACTGATCCTTGCGGAAGACCACAGACGAAGGACGAGGTTAAGAACGGGGGAAGTACTGCCGCCTACAGGTCTGGCATGTCCTTAACAATGTATTTATCTGGGTACGTGTGGACCATCGACATACATACTGGACAATTCGATTCCATAGGCTCCAATAACACCTTTTTGTCTATAATGGGAGGTGGCCACCACCGCCATTTTGACCGTGTCACAGGTTCCGTCCTGTACCTGGATTAAAAAAGTATTAAATCGGTAAGTTTATAATTTATTTCCATAATGAACCCATATTTTCCTTTGAGCAACTTTTCAGTACCGTATTTTCCAGGCTATAAGTCGCTCCTGAGTCGCACCAGCCATTAAATGTATAATCAAGAAGAAAAAATATATTTAAGTCGTATTTTGGGGTGACATTTTATTATTTTTCTTACAAAATCTGAGACCAAGCGTTTCACATTGCAAGACAAGCACCGGTAAACTTAACAGAATGAACAACGCGGGCGCAGCAGCTTGCTATGGTCTTCAGCCAGCAGAGGAGAGGATGGCGGTGTTTGAAACCCTCCCAGCGGGACAGGGTAACTCATTCTTGGGCGGGTCGGAGTCGGCCCACAGCAGCGCAGTGTAGCCTAAATATTTTGTTATATAAGTCGCTCCGGAGTATAAGTAGCAGGACCGGCCAGACTATAAAAAAAGGTGCGAGTTATAGTCCAGAAAATACGGTAGTTATAGCAGCCTAAATACATTTCATATATTTCCAAAACGTAATACTTGTTTGTATCTTGTACAGCCAACTAGCCTTTATTCTGGACTCAGTACAATCCACCAAAAGTAAAGAGACATTATACAGATGAAGTAAGCACAGGATAACTTACTGGAAGAAATGGAATTATCATGAGAACCAGAACAAGAGAGCCTGATAACAGTCATGTGAAAATAACAGTTAAAAAGTATGTATGTGTAATAGAAATAAAAATATATTAGAATTAGTGTAACTCACTGTGATCCAAACAAAAAATCAGCCATAGCTGATTAGTAAATATGACATGAGGTCTGGGAGTTTTTAAGTTTCATTCTTTTATTACATTTTTTTCTTAGATCTGTTAAAAGGTCAACATGGCAGCCTGTGTCTCCAGCATCAGCTACACAACGCAGCAAGTGTAAGTTCCAAATACCTGTCTTGACCACTTCATGAATGGTTTTGTACTTTAAACAGCTAGGCCAAACCTGTTATTTTTTTCTCCATAGCCATTTGGATCATCGGTGACAGCTGAGTGAGGCATGGTGCCCAGAGAGCTGCAGAGACCCTCGGAGACAACCTTGGCCTCCCTGACGTCCGTGTCTCCTGGTTCGGTTGGGGCGGACTGAGGTGGAAAGACCTTCTCCCCTTTTTTCACTCCCTGCATGGAAGAGCAGATCCTCATGTCCTCTTCATTCACTGCGGCGGCAATGACATGGGGGTGGTCAGCAGTGTGAAGCTGGTGAACATGATGAAGGAGGACCTGCACCGGCTTCACCTTCTCCACCCATATATGACCATCATCATGTCGTCCATCACCCAAAGGTGTAGATGGAGGGCAGGTGTAAAACCTGCCAAAATTGAGTAGGCCTGGAGGTTCGTCAACAATGTAATGGTTACTTTTATTTCTAGTTTAAATGGTGCCGTTGTTGTACATCCTCACATCAGACATGACAGTCCAGGGATTTTTTTGTCAGACAGAGTTCATTTCACAAATAGGGGAAATTATATATTTTTAACTAATATTGCCAATTGTCTTAATGGCCAGCTCCAAAAGCAGTGAAAGACTTCCAGGTGGGAGTCTCGCTGCTTTTGAATTTGGCCTTTATGACTGATTTATTTTCAGGCAAACAGGATAAACATATCCCTGACTGCTATAGATAATGTGCTGATGATGTAATTTATCTGTAGCCATTACACTGTTGAACTGTTCTTCCTTCAAACCACAATGTTGCACTCACTCTGCAGCTCTCTGGGCCCAGTTTAGTAAGGTTTTTTTTTATGTGCCGACACTTTGTACCCTGTTTTATAAAATGTAGTGTTAAAAATAAATGTTTTTGCTCAATTACTGGAATTTCTTTGGTTAAAAC